TAATCACAACTAAAACGAAAATAAAAATAATACAATGTATTTGATTTACTGCAAAAAAAAGGTACGCAAGAATAAAAGTTGAGTAAATGAACTAACTGTAAGAAAAAAAAGGGAAAACAAAATTATCATGAAATATTAAATAATAAAAATTGCCACCTAAATTAGGTAGAGAAAACTAATCAGAAAATTACCCAATAATACTTAACCTCTGAAAGTCCAAAGATAGTTGGCAAAAACTTAATTGAACGAAATTTTAAAACCAAATTACAATTTGTAAACAATCACAGTGCATTTGCACTTGATCTCAAATGTGAACAAACTATTATAAATCAATTGCATGTGTTTAATACCACAAAGAGAAACATGTTAACAATAGTATAAGAGTTATTTCATTGTATCACAACTGTTCTCTGTGTAAACGATCACTTGTCGAGACAAAGCCAGCAGCAATAACTAATCTATGGGTGTGTGCTAGTTATTTTCATTTTCTTAACTACTATTTTCAAGGTTGTTTACTAAACAATCTAACTTAGATAGGCAGGAAAAGTTGTAGCTGGTAAAAATCTAGATTGTTGATAACCGTTTTCTAGCAAAAAATCTGTCGGATAGACAAATAATGACATACGAAATTATTAGCACGCAACCATCCGAAGAAATGTTGCGTATATCTCGCGCCCAACTTGATTTATAAGTAAAACAACAGGCCAGTTGTCTAGCATGCTTGTTGAAGGAAAAAAATAAAGCTTAGAAATGCCCCCTACCTTGTACACATCGCCGTAAGTTCCCGATCCAATCCTCTGGATAAGCTCATATTCATCCTGTGGATTTCTACGAGATATATCCGAACTCAATACACCACCACTATGCGCCATAATCACTAGTAACACTAATCTAACATTTATTTACACTTTCATCTCATTATTCACATAATTATTAACACAAAATATCGTGAAATTTAATTATTTTTGTAACACAAAACTCGACATCCTTCGTCTGACGTTTGCCACTCTGCCATCTTTAGGGCTGCCATATTTTATTTCTAATTTTCTACCAAATGTTATATAAATCTACTAATGTATGTTTTATTCCAATAATACTAAATATGCGCTTCATGAATTGAAGTTAGGCAACGCTTGGCCCTTGAATCATACTCCTGAAAGCGTTTATTGCATATTCATTGCACTGCAACATTAAACATTTTATTTTACAAAATTACTTTCATATTTTAGAATAATTTGACTAAATTAAAATAATTACATTAACATGTCTAAAACTAGTAAGTCTCGTAAAAGTACTTAAGTAAAGAGTGAAAAATACTTTTACGAGAACAAGGATGGAAAAAATTCTTTAAGTCAAAAATACAAAATTTGGGTAAATGATTGCCATAGTAAAAAACAATACAAGAATAGTAGTTTACTTTTCAGTAACATTAATGTTTGCACACCCGTCTCGAGTATAATAATTGATGTGCACACCGAACAAGTTATCCGCGCTTTAGGGACGCACGGGCAAAACATATCGGCGTATTTCGAATCAAAATTATATTTATCGATATTTATCGAGAAAAAATATCGGTATTTACACCAAAGCCAGTAAAATATATCTAAGAGGATGCCCAAAAAAGCTTATTAGGGTCCGAATCAGACTTAGAAAGTACTAGTGCTAAACGATGCTGATTGTTATATAATGATGCTTATGGTGATGAATTAGATGAGATCGGCCGTTATTCTAAAGCCATTGCTTACTCCAAAAAATATCAACTTTTAAAATTATCGAGATTATAAATTTCGAAGAGTTAAAACGATGTCCTGAAAACTATCGATATTTTGATATATTATATATTTATTTGCATTGCACTACATATACATAACAGAACAAAACTCGACTTTATATAATACACTTTTTAGGTAGTTTTGTTGATTTCATTAGACTTTTATGGCTTCCAGTTTCAAACAAAAAGTTTGAGTTTTTTTTTAATTCAATTATTACTTATTCACCACGTTGGGTCTAATTCTTAACGTGAACGAGCTTCAGCAATATCCTAATTATTTCGATTTCGATGAAATAAAACAAAGATTTCTGAGCTAACTTTGTTAGGGTCCCATCAGGGTTGGACCTCACATGTCATTTTCTACAGGGATTGTTCATCATGCTGATGAAGTGAGTCAGAATAAACGTAACGCCTGTTTGAAAGCATCACATTAACTCGCGTAGGAAATAAATAAAACAAAGTAATAAATGTTAAAATGGTATATTTATTACAATCCAATATTCTCCGGGCGGCATACGCGAATCTTACAAAATTTGTTTACCAGCCGCCAATTCTAAACCTCTAACACTTTATAAAATTATATAATCTTTTGGTACAATCCTTTTAGTTAAGTGCACTTTTACAACTTTAAACGACTTAGCGACGCCAGAGCTGATCTCTAAGATGAGGAAATTCATAATCTCCCTAAAACGAAAATTCCGCATGGGCACTGATATATTCGTTTCATATTATGCGTTCTATAGTACTTTTACGTGGAGATATGGTGTCAAATCCTTGTTCTTTGGAATCTAAAGTTATACACTATACTGGTCAGAAAGACGCAAAGTTGTGAAAGAAAGCCTCACTCGCTTCATTGCATGACGGTTTCCATATTCGAATCTTTATTGAAGGCAATATTATATTATTAGATCTATCAAATTAACAACAGAAAAGACACCAATATTTTGTTACTACTTACACTCTATTGTTCCCAATTACAAGCCATAAGGCGAAAAACAATGCTTGAAGAAGCGAAATTACATAAATATTTTTATGAGATACCAACACTTATTTCAAGGATCAAACTGCACTAATCTAGGCATCAGCACCGCGTCGTTGCGATGCGTGCTGAAGAGTGACGTAGCGCAGTATGGTACATCTAAAACTTATTTTAACACTTCCACATAAAAGTACTATTTCGTAATAAGTCGGTCTGTCACCACAATGTAATCACCTTAATTTTTACAATAGACAAAAAATTATACAATTTGTTAAAACACAGGCTGCCCTAAACATTGCAAGGGAATGAAGAATTCCACTCTCTCGGGTACGTAGCACAGCCTGTATGTGGTAGAATGAGTAACAGTTTTAGACTAGATACAATAGCCCATTGAAAAATAAGTTTCGAGTTTATAAATTACATTGTTATTTTAACACACATTTTAACAAACAATTTGCCTAAGCGGGCTTATTATCACACACTGATAGGGCACGGTTAAACAAGGTAAGTACATGGCTATCAGAATACTCCGACTGTAAAATTAAGAATCGTTGAATTGATCAGATAACTATCGTATTATCAACCCAATTCGATAGCTTGACATGGCATTATTTCAATAGATTCGGTAAGTGGCGCCATCTAAGTGTATTTCAAATTATTAGTATTCAAAATTATAACGCAATGCTCTTTTAGAGTGTGTGATAAGCCCTAATGCCTCCATATCTCTTAAAATTTTTAGAGAATCAATGCAGTGACGTTTCCAAAATTGAGATTTTTTTACTAATTTAATAATAATTAATTATAAATAATATTTTTTTTAATCTTCCACCGATTTTGTACTAAATGCTAGAATATTTACAGAGAAATAATAAATCAAAACAAACGTTTTTTTTATTTGGTAAAAGCGAAAAAAGTAACTATATAGAGAGAAAAATAGCGTTAAAAAATTCATTGATGACATAATGAGCTCTTTTTTAAAAATAAATTGTTCAAAGAAAGCAAACTTTATTGAATTTAATACAAATAGAGTAAATTTAACGCACGCTTTGGCACTTTCACCGTAAAGATTTTATTATTATATTTTTTGTGAAGAATGGAAGAAAAATGTAGGTGTACAGTACAATGCAGAAATTTCATGTATTATTGGAGAAAAAAAAACACATTTACAAATTTAGCCTACTAATCTAGATTTCAAACAAATTTACACACACAAACAACCTAAAATTCATACAAAAAAAAAGAGATCCTGCAAACCTGGGTTTTTTCTTAATATTTCTTTTAACATTTCTCTGAATACTAATCTTTTTATACATTCGCATTATCGGCTCTGCCTAAGTACGAATTATCTTTCGTAAGAGCCACGGAAGAAAATTCTTCAACCTTCAAAGGAACTGTTAAATTGAAGTACTAAGACTAAACGGCACACTGTGTGTCCATGGGAAAAGAATCCAGATAATTTTGACATATGTTTGACATAAACAACATGTGTAACGTGCAAGCTCAACATTATCAGGTGGACATTAATTTATTTGTAGTCACAACTTAGAAAGTTAGTTACAGTTGCGTGCCAATCAATACTTATGCACAGGTATCAACACCGAACTGTCTGGAAACTTGGCTTTAAAAGCACGTGATACCAAAGTGGTATATGTGTAATGGGTGTTGAACAATGTAGTAGGTTATGACCCTATTAAGACCTTGCACGCTACAACTCATTAAGACAAAATGTAATGTTGAAGAAGTTATATTTTTAAATTGTCTTTTTTTAGAAGTTGTCTCGTAGAATTGCATTAATGATATAAACAAAAAACACTCTGATGTTATAAAGGTCAATTCCTACTAACCAGCGCATAATAGCAGCATCTGTAGCACTATTTCATTGTAATAATATTCCCGTAGCGCCATAAAACTCTTATTTATCGACATCGTTGTCAGCACGGTGCTGATGCTTGCGTCGAAATAGTGGGATTTGACCCTTACTAAATAACAGATATAATGATATTTTTGTGAGAACGTGCGTGTAGAAACCTCTTAACACAGTAAATTAGTATACTAAAACATCGCAAACACAATTTCCCCTACTATGGATTGTAGTATGGTGCATTCAAATACACACATTTACCTAACATTTATTAATTATCTAATCAAATACATAATAAACAACGTCAAGATTTAAATCTAGTGGTAATTTTAGTTTATAAAAGGAAAAAGGTATACTTAAAAATTAATAGTAACATTAAATAAAAGGATTAAAAAATAAAAACAGTACTACCGTAAATTTTTTTTTTCGATAAGTTCTTGAAGCCTATAAAGTTGGACATGTAAGTTGATATCACTTAACGTATACATTTTAAATGCCCTAATCCATCCGTATCACACGCTCCGTAATCGTATTCGATCCGTATCCGTATCACAAGTGACGTGTCAATTTACAACATGTCCAACTTATGAAATAACTTATTTGAATAAATATTTATTTCTTTGCTATACTAATGAGCAAAGTGTCCTTTTAATGCATCACTATTATGTCTCATTTGGAATTTGAGGTTATACAGGGTGTCCGTCCTATCAAATTTAGAAACAATACCTTCTGGTACTGTCAGCTAATAGTACCCCCATATAGCTATTAAACAGTCTATTTAATTTGTCTATTCGGTCGTTATTCATCTACGCGCAGCTCGAGTACGTGTAGCGCGTACTGCTGGTTTTTTACCTCTAGTTACCTTTTTGCCTTTACCTTTAACGGATTTGTTAGAACGATTACTTTCAATTGAATTCACTCTGCGATCTGACTCGAATGAGAAAGCTGGAATTACGTTCTTAACTTCGGACGGAGATAGGCTGATGGCCAATCTGCGTTTCCTTGAACGTGTCATTCGCATTTCAGCATCAGTTTTGGTAGGCGATAGCTTTTTAGCTTTAGCCTTCTTTGATTTGGCAATTTTTCTAGTTCCAAGTTCGGGCCTCTCCGTATTTTTGGAAAGATTTTGACCTTTCTCTCTCAAGACTGGTTTAGTTGTCTCTTCATACTTTCGTTTTCTAGTAGCTCTAGTAACGACTGTCTTTTCGTTCTCGATGGATTCTTTAGTAGGTCTGGATTCCTTAGTAGCTGTTTTCTTTTGCCTAATCTTTGGGGGACTACGTTTCTGTTTAGTATTTGAAGTTTTAGCCTTTGCAGTCTTCCCTTTCTGTCGACTACGTAACTCCCTTTCCCCGTTAACTTGGACATCCTCCTCCTTTTGAGTTTTATCAATCTTTCTTCGCTTTCTTGGTACTGGGGACTCTTCGCTTTTCTTACCACGACTGGTTTGGGGAAATGCAACTTCAGTTTCGTCCAGCCCTTGACTGCTTTCAATGTAGATGTAATCATCTAATTTAGACCTGGATTTGGCATAAGTTTTCTCGACTGGTTTGACAGGCGGTATGTCGTCATCGTCGGTAAATTTAGGCTCGTTGATTTCGCTTCCTGGAGTATCGTGAGTGTTGGCTCGGATAAGAGCTACATCGTGCTCTATGGAGTTGTTCATGCGACTTTTGAGGTTTTTTATGGTCTCGATCAAGGAGGTTTGTTCCTCTGACTCTGTAGGAGGGTCGTAGGATGTACCAGCCTCTGATGTGCTCGGTTTGCGCTGCTTGTTCTTGCTTCGTCGCTTGTAGAGGTCAGCTTTCGTCATGTCCTGTGAATAAGATAAGTTTATATGAATTTTTTTGATCATTTATATTTGGACATTTTTTATTAATAGATATTTTTTGTAGCTTTCAGCGGTATGTAGTAGGCTGTTAGTCGATTAATAAATAAGAAATGTGTTAAGAAAATATATAATTCCTCATCTTCATTATCGTTAATTATATATCCACTGATGGGCATGAATCCCACCTAAGGACAGGGTTTGGTCCATTTTTCTAAGTCAAATTTGCAAAATAAAATATTATTTATTTTCCGAATAATATTTCTATGCTGTGTGGGCACCACGCATCTAGTGTAAATAACAATGAAAAGAGCGTGCACGGGTATAAAATACTTACGGCGAGCTTAAAGCTGTTATCTTGGCTCGTATGTCCGAGTTCAGTTAAGAGAGACTGCGCGGTGAGGCGACGAGACGCGTCCACTGAAAGTAGACCCGCAATGATACGCTTGCTGTCAGAGGAGATATTGTCCCATGCCGGACCTGTGAAGGAGGATTAAGATGTTTAATTATAATTATACTTTTTTTTAATAATCTAAATTTTGCCCTGCATTATTCACGAATTACATCCAAAGTCACGAGAAAAACAAATGTAAGCCATACAAATATTTCTCCCGGCCCGGGGATCGAACCTGGGACCTCTGCGTGGCAGGCCAACATGGTAACCGTTCGGCCACAGAGGCAGTTACATACATATATAATCATAAGATTTTTGTTCTTGCCTGTGTGTAAACATTATGATACATTAACAACACTATTTGCTTGCGATAGTAGCGTACGATTTTTCGCCACGACGCGTGCGATAAACTTTCTCCATCTAAATAATTAGAAGAATTAAAACTTCCAAAATAACCAATTATCAATACGCATTTTTATTCTACCAGCACGCTTTAGCAAGCTATTGATAATCTAAGTTTAGTTCCCACTATGGGCGTGGTGCTGATGCTGATGTGTGCCGATAGTGGGGTCCGACCCTAAGGAGTACTGACCGTCCATGGTGAAGGCACCGGTGCGAATGCGATCCATGAAAGCCGTAACGGGCTCCTTGCGCGACAGCGGCGCGAACGGCGCGCGCCCGCACACCATGCAGTACTGGAAACAACACATTCTGGTCAACTCAATGCATGCAGGAAAAGCACAATAGTACATTGCGTATTTAAGGACGGTAAATAAGAAATTACTAAGGAGGGTCTATTAAAAGCCCGAAGCCAAAGGCTGAGGGCTTTAATAATATGAGTTTTATATTTTTCACCGTCAATGTTTTTCATCATATTTGCGACGAAACAAATCGATATAAATATGGTTCACAACACATCAATTATATATTTGGCAAATGGCGGGATTTTTGTTTTTTTTTTTAATTCTTCCATAAATAATACGAGTCGACCTAAAACGTTCTAAAAAGCAAAACACGCATAAAAAAAAAATTGCCACATTTTTATACAAAAAATAGTTAAAATCATGATGGCTTAGTTGGTATAACGTCTGGCACGGTAAGCTAGAAGACGTCGGTTCGAATACGGCCGGATCGAAGGATTTTTTTCTGAGTGTTCGATCTTTGTGTTAATAATTATAATTAAAATCAATTAAAAGAAATTCGTAATAATAAGTATTTAAGTCATATGTGGCTGAATTGCAATTATATTCCTGTTTAAATAACATTTTAATTTTAATTTTAAACTAAGTAACATCATTGCTGGATTTTGAACCTGACCTAAATTTGTAGCACGACATAAGTATGCCGACAAATTAAAAAAAAATCCTTACCGACCATGGCTGTAATGGAAAGGAATAGACCCGTGGGTTTTATTCGGGGCATTATAGTCAAGTTAACCACCATGCAATCATACTATTTACGAGCAAATGTGAAGATAAGATTTTTATTTCTCAGATGAAACATTCGACAGGGTAATGTGCGTAATAAATGATTTAAATGACAGTGCATAGGTGAGGAACAGGTATCGATCGATTCACCAAGTTCACGTGTACCGTTAGCGTTTTGAGATTGAGTCGTGGACTACTTAGGAAATGGTCACAAAGGTGGCGTTAGAATGGAAGGATGGGGTTGAACGTTGGCAAGAGTTGTCTATACTCACAAAGATGACACCGAGGCTCCACAGGTCGACACTGGGTCCGTACGGTGGCGCGTTGGCTGAACGCGCGCGGGACACCACTTCAGGTGCCGCGTACGGCAGGCTGCAATGATACCAGGACTAAGTTTAGTTGCCTACTTATCGGTGTCCTACAGGATATGTCACAAAGAAAGTGCGATGGAATTGCGCGTTTTAATTCCGCCTTCTTCTTTCCATCATGTTTTTCTTATATGGCTCTGCTACATATTGGCCCAACTTGAAAAAGGTGGCCACCTTGGATTCAATTAACAACCGTGCCAAGAGGCTTATAGGTGACTCAGGGTCGTATTCTAGAACTCTATACAATGCTCAAGTCAGGATTGCACTGGAAACACAAACACTGGAAATACGACCCTAATGGCAGGGACTTGAGTATGATTTCGAGTGCTTTAAACCATACTCAAATCCTGACTTGGGCTTCTACCCAATAGTAGAGTTCTAGAATACGACCCTATTAGGGTCGTATCTACTCGTCTCCGTATATTCCAAAAATATACTGCATCAAGTGCTGTTCCATTCGGTGGTGTGGCCAAAACCAGCAAAACATTACAAAACAAACGGAATTAAATTTAATCGGTAATTAAATATGTAATTTTGTCATTTACGTCCATTAAAGTAAAGCTTAAACTGGTCGTATTGAAGTAAAACAATTGATTGGCTGGCCAATCGGAGCGCAGTAAGGATTTGGCAGAATGTTTTCAAACAAATAAAATGACATTTCGTCTCTATTTCTGGTTATATGTATACTCGATGGTAATAACTTTGTGTTTGAACTTATTTTACCAAATACAGACCTAAAAAGTGTCAGCCAGTACAACAAAAACTTAAAGTTTATTTTTGGTGAATTTATTAAAAGTCATGTATATTTTGGTGGTAGATTACAGCTACGATTACCATTAATAAATGGGACTATCGGACAATGTTTTCCTATTGGCAGGACGTTCGCAGTACCTGAAGCAGGGCGTCATCATGCGCGGGCGCGAGTCGTGGTCGGGCAGGCGCCGCGCGAAGCCGAAGTCCGCCACGCGGATCGTGGCCTCGCCCAGCCGGCACGACGTCACCAGGATATTCTACCGGCATACAAACATGAACCTTCTCTTCGTGATGCTTTCTCTAAATCAAGCGATCGATTACAAGACCGACGGGATATGACTGCTTCTACGCCAATATTTATTACTCAAATGAGCTCTGAAATTTTCCTATTACTTAAAAAAGAGAAACCAGAAATTTTGTCATTTAGGAACGTGCAATTCTTTGTAAAATAAGTCAGTAAATCCGGTAGAAAAGAACAATAGAAGTGCCTAAAGCTTACTATTAGAACCGCTGTTGCCAAAAGCAATCATGGCTGTGGCTTATGCCGAATGAAGTCCTTTTGCGTACGCCACAACCGCATACATGACAGTACAAAATTTGTAGGCGTTATATTTTGTCTTTTGCTTTTTGTCCGATTTGTACTATTTTGTTGTGGTTTTTTTTATTGTATTCTTTATTTCAATCATTAATTCTATTTATTTTCTTTTGTTTGTCCGTGTTATCAATTTTTTTTTGTATTTATGTGTTGTGGCGTTGCAATAACGCCCTAATCTTCTTCTATTCTATTCTTTTCTAAAATGCACATAAACAAAATGATAAAAACTACGAAATCTTGATAATGATTGGTCATAATTTTGAATTTAAAAAGATGTAACAAATTTCGGATTGTTAATATAATTTAAACTTTACGCGGTCGCTATATCGTTGAAAGTTTAACACCGTTACGACGTTTTGATTTTATATTGAAATTTTATTCAACGTGCATCTTGCAGTCAGTAGCTGGACTACGACCAAACGATTAACTCGAGGGTGCTGGTTCGAATCCAGCCGAATCGAATATTTGAATCGAATGAAGAAAGTGTTCAATCTTTGTTATTAATAATTATAAAACAAGTTCTTTATGGATCTGTCTAGGGAACCTCCCGTCCCTTAACGTTGGTTAAGGACTCGCCTCTGGTTTGAGATCGCGGTGCACGATCCTCCTAGCCGCCATGTGGTTGACGGCGATGGCGAGCTGGACCAACAGCCGCCGCGCCACTCGTTCGGAGACTCCGTTCGCAATGTGCGACGACAGCTCGCCCCCGACGCATAATTCGGTTACTATATAGGTGAATGCCTGACAAAAAATAGAAAATTTAATAAGAATCAAGTGGTACTTTGAGTAAATTAAGCTCTGCTGCATACGCAGTTCGCAGAATACATGAGCTTACTGATGTTAGTACTGCTAGACTAGTTTACTTTAGGAATGAAACTATTTTTCCGGATTGACTGTCAACCGTGACCATGGGACCTGTAAAGGGCCCGAAACGTCGGTTTGTTTGAAAAAACAAATATACGCGATTTAAATCCGGAAAAATAGTTTCATTCCTATGTGTAACAATCGCGAAAACCTAAGAACTCGATAGTTTACTTTAGTTACTTCCATAGTATAATTTCAAAAGCGGCAAATATTCAAACCATATTTGTATTGCAAAAACGAGCGATTCGTTCTGTGTACCGTCTAGGCTCTCGGGTTTCTCTCAGAGAAAAGTTTAAGAAGACTGGTATATCATGACTGTGGCATGTGGTACATTTACTCAAATATTTTATATGCCCGTAAAAATATACATAATTTCAATAAGAAAGAAGATATCCATAATATTAACCTTAGAGCTAAGTTCAAACTCATGGTACCACGATTTTGTTTAACCAAGGTAAACAACTGTTTTATGGGGAACTGTATACGTTTTTACGATAAGATTCCGGAGCATATATTAAGTTTATCATTTCCTAAGTTTAATGACTACATAAAAATTTTTTTGATCGAAAAGTCATATTACAAAATTGAAGACTACGTGTTCGATAAAGATGTATGAAAGACGACACGGCTCCAGAATGTACACAAATTTGATTCAAAGTGCATAGCATTTAAGTTTATTCGAAAAGAGCAATCCCTAGAGTTTCTTGCTCATTCTTCTCAGGGAGGTCAGCGTAGTGAACGAGTAGTAGCGTAAATGTGACGTTTACAAGTGTAAATTTATTTTACCATGGAATAAATAATCTTTGACTTTGAAATAATAATAATAATAACGCGGGTGCCATGGACACACACATAGACAACCACAACCGTTGTGGTGGTAACCGTTCGGCCACGGAGGCAGTTAATTACATGTTAATACATATTTATATAGTCTATAAGGACGCGGTCGCATTATGTCGTAGCGTTTTATTCATCGTTAGACGACTGTCGCATCTAGCCTGTTCCCATATCACGACTCATCTGTCGTGACTGTGTCGTGGACGTTTATTTTTTTATTTATTATTATTAGGCACATCAACATCATATGTATTTGACAATCAACAAAAATTAGACACGAGACTAGGATTGATTCATATGACAATTACAGACGTACACAACATTCGCTATATACTGCACTATACATATATATATATATTCAATTTCACGACAACAACACAGACATAACTACACAATGTTTAAAAAAAATACTTGGTAAATATTTTTTTTATATAAATTGAAAATTAAAAAAACATACATACAAAAACCTACAGTCGAATTGAGAACCTCCTCCTTTTTTGAAGTCGGTAAAAAATAGGTTTGTTACAAATACAGAGCGCGCGATTTTACGCTAACAGCCGACCGATATTGAAGCTTACACTCACCGTATCATAAAAAACTTCATGCAGTGTAATAATAAAGGGGCATCCCTGACAGGCTTTCAGCAGCTCTATCTCTTGCTTGATGTCTTTCTTTTGCGATGAGATTATCTGAGAAACAAATTGATACCATTTTCACTAAAGCGTCTCATTTACATTTGTAAATGTTTAGTAGCTACACCTCTCGCTAACAGCGAAGGATTAAATACATGCCAAAAAGAAAAATACAAAACTCACTTTAACAGCATACTCCTTTCCACTTTGCCGATGGATACACTTCCGACATACTGAATACGACCCATCTCCTAACACGGGTGTACTCAGATCCACAGCGTACTGTTGGAAAAAGGGCGAGTCCTTCGCTACCCAGCCTTTCAGCTTGTCGTTTCTCGTGCCTGTCACCTGAGTCCATATCTGGTCGGATATAATATTCTCGGAGAATAGGATGCTTGGTGCTACGTAGGAGTAACCTGTAATGAAGAGAATTTATGACAATATTATAAACTTTAAAACGATCAATACCTTTTCAAGTGGCCAGTTGTAGAATGTCAGTAACAATAGAAATATACGAACTAACCTTTTAAAGTTTTGGATTTGTTTACCTTGTAATGTACACTTAGTAGTGAAAACGTGGCGACCAAGTACTCGATCACATAGCAACCAAGTTGTGATGTATTAGAGACCAAGTTGTGATCACTACGCGACCAAGTGGTGACCATTTTGTGATACTTTAGTGACTTAGTTGTGATTATTTAGCTTCCAAGTAAACTGACCAATAAACAGTTTGTCGCTGTGCTTCGGCGCCTGTGCTGGCGAGTCAGTGGGCGGCATGCGAGTGAATTCGTCGGCGAAGTTGCACGTGTCCTCCGCGTGAGACAGGGCGGGCACGAACGGGGCGGCAATTTCGCGACGAGCTACACCTTCCCAGTCCAGATTCTGTAAACAATAAATATAACCATCATATAAATACACCGTTCACACGCTTTCAATTATTATCACTAAAACCATTAAAATATATACGTACGATACACAACAATAATCTAACATCAAACGAAGAGATGCTGGTATTAATGCTGATGCGGTAAATGGATAACCTTTATAATTTAACTTAATTTAAATATAGAAAAATAGGTACAGAGATGTGGCTAGGTCCCAAACTAGGATTCCCTGTACTATGGGTAGCTAGGTCGACAAAAAAAGATGGTTTACATTTAATTTTGGTACAGACGGCAGCACATCAAGCTACACATTGCGCATCTTTGGTAATTCGAGTCGTTTTGAACATTAAGAGTTTTAAAGTTTTAGACAAATGAAGATTTTACTTAGTCGATTGATCTAGAAATCGATGCGTAGTCCGTCAACATTATTTAAGTGTACCTGGAAAAAGGGATGCCTTTTCAATTCTTCCGCGTCACTCATTCCACCACCAAGACGCTTGCGGGGATCCTTTACAAGCAGCCTGAAATTAATAAAACACGTATTCATAAATTGGCGAAATATTAAGACTTAGATATTAAGATTTTTGGGAGAAAAATGTGGTAGTATATTTAGGGGGCCTAAGTTCGGCAACAGCATCAGTATCATGATCCACCGCATTACTAAGATGTCCACTGTTGGCAAATCAGATTGGCGAAAGAGAATTACTCGCGCAGTTGTTCCCTTACAGATCAAAGGAGTTGCAAATTGCATTCAGAATATAATCAGCTCGAGTGTACGTGCATACAATTGCAAGTGCACTTCGCTCCTAGTGTCACAGCCGAAGCGCACTTTAGTATGCGCAAGTTGTCCCTCGTGTAGTCTGAATTAACATAAAGGTATTCCCCCAATAGGAAGGGCCCATTAAAAAACCAGCGTCATAGCCCAGTCTGGCTTTAGCTTTTTTATATGTTTGCATACGTCACAGCCGCTGATTTTTGTAATATTTCTGAATTTATTTTGTGTCTTTTATAACGTGGCTTTGCAATAAATGGTTTCTATTTCTATTTCAATAGATGCCGCAACTAAATTTCGCTTTAATTGCTTGACTCACGCGGTCTTCGGCGAAGCCCTCGTTCGTATACCTAGTTTGCCCTCCTTGTCAAAACCATAGGTTCTATATCTATGGTCATAACTAACGCATTTGTATTTTAGTAACTTTCGAGATATTGGTACCTACAGTTTTGTTTTTTAATATCAATTACGCAGATTTTGCTTAACAATAAAACAGCAACTAAATAAGATAGAAAAAAAATAAATCGTTCATAGAAGGTTCTAGATCTCGTTTCGCTGATTCCAAATAATATGTTAATAAATCAATTTCGCTAAAAATTTCGATTGCGTTGCTTATGTTACGGACAGCAGTAGTAGGGTCTGCATACCCTACATTTTATAGCTTATGGACACCACGATTGAGACAGAGTTATTTATTATGAGTTCTCCATAATACAAACCATTAAGAGTTCATATTAACCTCAGCTCCAATTAAAATTTGTCCCGTACGGTTCATTTTGCCTTAGGTCGAGGGACAGTGAAACCAGTTTTATTTCAGAAATTATTTTTTTACAAAGAAGTTAACGCCATTTGAAAAATGTATATCGTATACCATACGTGTACTATTTACTTCAATTAATATAAAAAAAAAATCTTTGGTATATGTAAAGTACTTGTTGAATACAGCGGCTTTCTTGTAAAATTTCGAAGTAAGTTTTTCCGATCGTGAAAATTTTTAGGAAACGTGTTTTCAGCAGGATACAATTGAGGATATACAATCCTCAATTTTACTATATATTTTTTCCTAAGAGATTGATTCAACATTTTCGCTGTTATGCGGAATAAACTAAAGCCATTTGAACTAATATTGATTCTTAACACTTACTTAGCATTTACAGAAACTCCAAGCTCTATCCGTTGTTTTCAGA